TGCTCAGGTATTGCTTGGCGATAATATAAAATAATCTTTCAGAGATGTAAGGCACACTTTTCCTGTAGCCAAAATCTATGGACTGCTCCTCCCAAGAAAACACCTCTGTGCACAAGCACATAAAACTTTCCACAAAATTCCAGAGGGAACAGCTGAAGGCTATGCATGGACAAGTCTATGGAGACCAGCTCCGGGGAGCTGACACACCGATCGGGAGGTCTGTAGATCAGGGCCAGGACTCGCGCTGCACTGCCTGACCCTGAGGATCGTCGCTAAAGCTCAGGCACTAAGCACTTCTCTTCCCTCACCCTAGCCCCAGCCCTGCTGAAGATGGAAGGCTATGGCTACATCTGAAAGAACTAAATACCCGGTCACATATGTCATTTCCTATCCCATCATAATCTGACTGAAATAATATCTAAAGCCAGGTGCCTGCACATTAAAACCCTCCTTCAACCCCCTTGTCCTAAAGGTTAAAAGAGACCTGGCAACACTGAACGAGATGTGTCTAAGGCCAACCTCGACACTGTTCATCCAGAAAATTCTCCTCTATGAGTCTCAAATGATCACAGCAAGCACTCTCTCAGGTCCTCACCACTCACACGTGCGCATGACGCAGACCTGGCCATTCCTCACTGCTGGCTCTTTGAATAACCTATACCTAGAGCTGGGCAGCCATCTGCATCCTGACAGACGGGCAGAACTTGAACATCAGGGATTACGTCACCAATGAACGTTTCCAATAACCAAGTATTAGAACATTAAAAATCTCAAGTCTGGCAGAGGATCTGAGCACACCCTACTTGTACTGATTTCCTCCTCTCAGTCACAGTTTTTCCTCTTTTCCTTGCTTTCGTAGTCGGCACCCACAATCACATTTCAACTGCATGGACTTGACTTTGCAGGCAGCCAATCCTCTCAAACTTCTCAGCTGGAGAAACCAAACTGGCAAAAAGTTACCTGCCACCTCCACCCTTGCGGCTTTCCTAATGAGGCGAGTCCCCTGCCCCCTTCTTGAAATAGTCCTTTCTGGGATTGTGGCTCCGTGGCCAGACTAATAATTAAACTCTAAACTCCAAAAAGTCAAAACTACAGCCCCCCTTCTTCAGCTCTCCCAGAGAAAACAAAAAGTGGAAGGAACTCTTGCTGCTGAGGCTAGGGGAGCATCTCAGAATGGGGGCCGGGGACAAGACTCTTGGATTTTCTTTCTGGTTTTAAAAACACATAAGAAATTTGGGAGTCACAAAGGTGGGAAGTTCTTGGTCTTGCCGCTCCTTGGGAATGGAAAAAGTGAGGGTGAAAGGGTTACTCGTGGTACACATTTTTTCCATTGATTATTTTACTTAAAGAGAAGATGTCATTTCCCTGGAAAATCAAGGAGGGGGGGATATTTTCTTTTGAATATCTTCAAACATTTGCAAATGGTTACTCTGAACTCCCCAATGTACCATAAACAAGTGTAAACTGTAGAAATTCAGAAAATGTACAAATACAAACAGCTATCCCCCAAGCTCAAAGGCAAAGACAAAGAAAGGGGTATTCCATTTATAAATGGAATTCTTTGTGGAGAGAACAGTTTGGGAAATGTTTATACATTGTTTCCCTTATTATTTGGGGGGATTTTTTTTTTCAGCTTACAGAAGCATCTTAAAAGTTGAAGATAAAAGGAAGTTTCCAACCTTTTAAAATCGTCGACTAAGCTTAATTGGTTCTGCATCTAGGAAAATATCTGCTCATTTAAATCACTTGTAATCATATCAACAAACCAGAATGCATAAAGTCAGATAACTGGGAACAGAATAACTTCAAAATGGAAAAAAAAAAAAACCCTGTGATTTGCCAAGAGCTAGCAAAAATGATGACTTCTTTGAAGGTAACTGTAGCTGCCCGGATTACTGATTTCAAGACACAGTCTGCTTTGAATCTATCTTAAATGATTTTTAAAAATAGTAATACAGTATGAAAATGGTGGGCATAGTGAAAATGAAGAACCCAGACGAAAGTTACTGACAATGAGTCACCAACAAGCACAAGGAGAAATCACTCACCTGCGCCTCATCCACCACAACTCAGCCCAGGTTTGGTTTTGTTTTTTTAGTGCTTTCCCCTTTGGCTTTAACTTGTCACCAAACAGTGTTCACTGTCAGGGCACAAAAGCCATGCAGTTCTTTACTTAACAGATGCATTTCCAGTTTCCGTAACCATATGCATAGGCTGGGTTTCTGAAGGCATAGAAGAAAAACAGCACCACGTATGCACAGAAAATCAGGAAGGGTCAGAGAATGTGAGTGAATTACGGCAGGTTGAGACTGTGCTGTGAGCTGACACGGAACTACAGAGGGCAAGAGGCAATGCGATTTAGTAGAGCAGAGGTGTTCTTCCCCCACCTTAAATCACTCGCCTTGTCACCCCACTGTAGCTGGCAAAGCCTGAGAGTCTCTGGCTTTAGAGAAAAGCGGTAATTTCTTGCGGGACCCATCATAAAAAGAATTTTCCAATCTCAGGGGGATATGGGCAATTTCATCATTGCATCTTCTGAAAATGACTGAAGCCAGGTTAATATTTTTAGTAACGACTCTGGTCCACATACAAGACCCTAGCCTGACTCTTTATTCAGAAACATATATCATCCAAATAGCCATCATATATTTAATGCTTTTATATTCTTTTGACCCTATACTACTTATGGACTAGTGACACTTTTCCTGACCTGGTCACTTCTCACTTTAGCAATGGTAGTAAAATCTTTCACCCTCTCGTTCTTCCTTTAATGTCATTTGAATGAGTGACACTAGAATGTGTTTAAAATTACAATTCCTGATGCTTTTCTGGCTTTCTAAAGGCCATCACTTTTTTTTGTCCCACATCTTCCCATTACTTACTGCTTTGTCAACCAGATTAAATTACTCTGGTAGAGAAATCGGGGGCATTTTCAATTGAGGTGACTATGAGAAGGCTGAGACTGTCTTTGGAGAGCAGAACTTGCAGATATAAAATCCAGGATTGGTGAACTGATTTTTAGTATTCTGCTCCTACTGGCAAAGCCATCAGTGGAAAAGGAAGACTCAGACTATGGTGGCTGAGAAACCCTTCTCACACCACCCAGTAAGGCCCCTTTCACTGGCTCTGAGCTTCCCAAGCAAACTCCTGGCTATAAGTGAGGTAGGTGCCCATGTAAATATGCTGACTTAGAGACAATGGTTTGGACACACCACATCAAGTGTTCTGGTCCACATCTATATTTCCTACCGTGGAGTAATGGGTTGGTATTCTAGGTTTTTCATTGTTGTTGCTGAAAAAAAAAACTGAGCACGCTAAAAACAAACAAACAAACACCATCTAAACACTTAGAGAAGTTGGTAGGTAGGCTTGGTTTTTGTCTAGGAACTTTCCCCCAAGACAACTGAGGTGGATAAAAGAATTTTATCAAGTAGGGTAATAAAGGGACCAATTAACCTATTCTCCTACAGTGGTTCAAAGAAAATGTAGCCCTGGAGTCAGACAGCCTACATTTGAATCTCAATGCTGCTTATTAACTTGGTAATCTTGGGCAAGTTACTTAATTTCTATGTCTTAGTTTCCTCATGGGTAAAATGAAGACAATTAACAATTGCCAAATGGATCCTGACCCAAATAAATACTACTGAAAACCACTTAGAGAAGGACCTGCACATACCAACGTGAGCAACTCTTCTTCCTAGAAGGTCCACTTCTCCTACCCAGGCCTCCTTCCTCCCCGGTGTACATTTCCACCAGACTATAAGTGCCTTGAGGGCAGGCACTGCACCATATTTACCTTTGTAACCCCCAACTCCCAGAAAGAGCTGTGCATAAGTTATGTGCTCTGTAAATATTCATTTCCCTTCCTTTCCTCTCCATAAATAGTTGATAAACTTCAGCAGAACATTAGCCTGTTTGCTGTCCTTTTGGACAGAGAGCACTCAGGCTCTGGATCCAGCAGGCCTGAGTTGAATACTGGTTCCCTCACTTACCAGCTCTGATTTGGGTAACATCTCCAAGCCTTATTTTCCTCCTTGGTAAGACACAGACGATGCTTATTCCACCAGGATTGTTGGGAGGATCAAACAAATGAGGCCACATCTGGCTACAGTGGGCAGCCATGCAGGCTAGTTTCCCTCCCCCTTACTGAAATTCTGGACTCGTTATTTATGGTTCACTTGGTATTAAGCAGGATTCCGGACCCTCCCCTGCCAGAGGTCAGAGATGTGTGCTCTCACCCACTTCGGTGATGTTGCCCTTTTCCCTGTCAAAGCCTCCCACTGCCTGGAGAGGTGAGCACCTCACCCACTGAGCTGATGAGCCCCAAAAGGGGAGAAAGCAAAGCTGGTCAGTGATGCTTGAGGCCCACCCCGGGAAATGCTGGTTGGTGACAAATGAAGGAAGAGACCCCGTGAACACGAGCTGCTCCAACACCCTACCAGGCAAATGGGGCTTCGTGGCCTGGGTTCAGTTGGCATAGCATGTAAGAAGGTTAGATTTTATTCTCATCGTGCAAATGGAATCCCCTGGTTATTGAGAGCATTTGGTGAATTAGGACATTCTGCCAGTGTCTCTACCAGCTCCAAGAAGTGGCTCAGCTTGCCTTTTAGCACAGTCCTGTAACCTCATGACTGAACATTTACTGGTCCCAAGTAATCTCTCCTTCCTCCCCACATCCTCTTCTACTTACAGGGATGAGCCTAATAATAAAAGTGTAATTAGTAGATAGTGTTTCAATGCAGGTTCAAGAATTGGCTTTATCCTTAAGTAAGTGACCCTGGGCATGGCACTTACATGCTGTGAGTCAGTTTCCTCATCTGTAAAATGGGAATGATGTTGGATCAAGATGATGAAAGTGTGTGACCACACAAGGTGTACTGTAAAACACGTAAGGTAAAACCATGATTATCAATACAACTCTCTCGCGCGCCTCTGCCCTGCAAGAAGTAAGGAGGGGTGCACTGACTCGTGTGGAGAAAAGCCCCAGTGTACATACAAACCTTTTACTTATTCTGATTTCTAATTCGGAGGCACCTCCTTTTGAGCGGAGGCTCCAGGTCCTCGGGCCCGGCGCTGAGCATGGGCGAGGAGATGATGCACGGCGCCATGGCAGTCTTCTCCGCGGGTTTTGGCACAGGCTGGATCACGCAGCCCGTCTTGGGCAGCATACGCAGAGCATACGCGTGGTCCTCGTCCGCGGGGTTATTAAGGTTCGGGTCTGACTTGTCGCCTCCCGCCAGGGCCTCCTCCCCCATCAGCTTTTTGGCCCCCTCCCCATCCAGGTGGCAGTTGGAAGCACAGTTGTTCTCTTTGACGGACTCCAGCTCGCTCACCGCGGGCTCCTCCGGCGACAGCAGCTTCTTGGGGGGCGCGGGAGGCGGCGGCGGCTGGGGCTGCTCAGGCGGCGGCTCCGCGCCCTTGGCGCCCTCGGCGGCGCCGCCGCGCGTGCCGTTCACAATGACATTGCAGGCCGCGGCGGCCTCGGGGCCCGCGGGCGCGCCAGGGCCCGGGTCGCCGGCGGCGGGCGGGCTGCAGTGGCCATCCCTGCAGCCGCCGCAGGTCCTGCGCTCCGCGGCGCCCGGCTCGCGCTCCGCCTTGATGTGCGCGTGCAGCGCGCGGTGGATCACGTTGTGCAGCCGGGCCCGGTGGCCCACGGTCAGGTCGATGACGCCGTCCTGCGGGCCCTGCAGCACGCCGGGGAAGCCGAGCTGGCCGCCCGCGCCCGGGGGGCTGCCGGCGCGCCGCGTCAGGTCCACCACCTCGCTCCGGCCGTGCTCCGCGGGCGCCAAGCTCAGGGCCTGGCCGGAGCAGCCGGGCGGTGAGTCCGCGGACTTGGACGAGCCCTGCTTGGAGTCCCGGGGGGACAGGGAGTGTCCGCCAGGCTTGCCTCCTGCCGCCGAGGAGTCGCCGGGGGCGCTCGGAATGAAGTTCTCCCCGTTGCTGGAAAATCCGTTGGGGGGTTTGGAATCATTGATGTGAGGGATGGGAATAGGGATGGGGATGGGCACGGGCAGGGGCACGATCACGGGGTATGGCACGAGCAAGGTGGGGGGCGGCACCAGCGGGGCGAGCGACGGCAGCCCGAAATTCATCATCTGGGGCACGGGCATCGGGCCATTTGGCATCATGCTCACTGGCGGGAAGGGGAGACTCGGCAAGGGCGCGCCCGGAGGTGGCGGGGGTAGCAGACCCGGAGGGTTCCCGGGCATGGTCGGGGTGCTCGGGGGGTGGATATGGGGCGACAGCATGGGCCGGTGCATGGGACTGGAGGTGGGGCCCAGGTTCCTGGGGCCGCCGGGTGGGGGCCCGATGCCGGGGAGCATGGGGTTGGAGAGAGGGCTGTTAGGGTTGGAGGCGTGGTGCGGCGGTCCGCGAATGAAGGGCGGGCGGATCTGCTGCATGATCTGCTGTTCCATGAAGATGGGCAGCGGTACCGGGCCGCGGTTGGTCATCACCATGGGAGGGCTGCGAGGCGGGACGCCGAGGGGAGGCCCGATGCTAGCAGGTGGCTGGACGGAGACAGGAGGGATGTTTGGAGTCTCGCTAATGGGCATGGACTTGGGCACTGGCGTAGGGATTTTAGTAACAGAGCAGTTGGCAGTGTCAGATGGAGAGACGGTGGTGGACACCGATGGGCCAGGGCCCTGGCTTTGGCCAGCTGCAGCCGCCGGGGAGGGGGCCTTCCTGCGAGCATCTGTTAGAGGGATATTCCAAGAGTCTGGAGTGAGCAGCTGCACCCCCGTGCCTTCTGCTTTATTTTCCATGGGAGGGTGTAATGTACTGCACAGCCCAGCGGGAAGACTGGCCTGTGTCTCTTTGTAGAAAATGTCCATTTTGTACTGATTGAGACATTTTGCACTGCAGAACTGAAGCCTTCTTTCCCCGTCCCCAAAATCCAGGTATTCTTTTGTGTGTCTTATGTGCTTACACCAGTCACATACCTACAACACAGTAATAAAGAAGAAAAAAGTAAGGTAAACAACTTCCTTTGGTAGATAGCGTTTCATGTTTTACATGAAGGTTCTTTCAAACTTTATCATAATTTTTCAAACAGGCAGAAGTGTTTCCTTCTAAAAGGTACAATTCTTAAATGTTTGTAAAACAATTTCTCTTTGGAAGCCAGAATTGCTTTATAAATATGAACTCTTCAGAATAGCAATTACCACCATCTCCTATTTTAAAAAAAGAAAAAGAAACTGTGTTATCCCATTTAAGCATGACTTTAAGGTAGATCTAACAAAAAAAAAGAGTACATATACCTGCCCACATAGTTTCACTGGTCAAAGAGGCTCATTGTACATGCAAATCTAAATAGTTTTGGTGAGAAGAATTCTCCAGAAAGTTCAGTGGACTTTGAAATATAGACCCTTAAAATTCTCCTCATGCAAAGTCACTTTACACTATTGACTGTTGGATAATGCAGTTGGAAGGGGTGTGCTGTGTTAACCAATAACACATAGCACTGAACATCATTATGTCTGGCTTCCAAGGGGAAACTTGGAATTAGTCATGAAGTCTGTGTGAGGTTTAGCTATTCCCAACCTGTGATGTTGCAGCAAGCTAGAATTATTTTTTGAGCTGTTTGCCCACTCTCTCTCAGTAGTCAGAATTTTTGGTGACATTTCTTGGCAGGCAGTCTTATTTAACAACTTTTCAAACACCAAGAGAACGTTTTCCAAAAGTTTTTATGGCTTTTCCCCCCTTCAGATCTACTCCTGGCAAAAGAGAGACATCACCAAATTTATTTTAAAGTTGGGCTGCAGAACTAATTAAAGGCTGAGCGCTTTTCCCAACTGGAAATCACTAGACATCAAAGTTCAAAAAATAGTCATTCTCGGCTTCAGAACCCATTACTTTGGAGAAATTATTGTGATTTCATTAACACATTAATTTTGTAACACCATCAGCTCTCACAGATGGTGAAGACATGATCTACAATTCAAATACGACTCTTGTTTGCACAAATGTCTTTCCTTCATATGGCATTTTAAACAAGAATTAATACGAGTAATCTTGCCATAGCTATAAACAGATAAACAGATGTCAAAATTTTCAATGGTTCTTTCAGTGCCTTACTTTTTTGACTGAACATTACATACACAATCTTTTTTTCTTTTTCTTTCTTTCTTTCTTTTTTTTTTTTGGTCATTTCCTCAGCACTCAAGCCATACAGCAACAGAGGAAGAATTCTGAAACACAATGCGATGGTGAGTTCATTGAATTTGCTTCTCTCTTCAGTAAAGCCCTGGTTCCAATATTGCTCTAAATGGAACCTGTTTTTGTTGAGGAGAGAGTCTGTTGTTCTGTTGCTGGTGCACGTTGCTTTTTTAACTATGGTAAACTGATAGCATTAAAAGATGATAAATTTTAATAATGATTGGTCACATAAACAATGCAAAAACAACATATGCTGGGCATTTGATTACTCATCTCATTGAACTCTCAGCTTTCCTAGACTGTAAACAGTGGTGGCATGCTAGTATGTGATTGTGAGTATACACACTCGTGGCAGATGTAAGTCTGTTTGTGTAAATCCACTCTTTTCCTTCGCACTTTTTTTCCCACTGATATCTGCAGGTGATATACTTGATGGTGTGAGATTGAATGACAAATACTTATTGGCACACATTAGCTTTTTGTTTAGTCTCATATGAAAATACCCTTTCAAAATGCTTGTTGCAAAAAAAATAAAATCAATGCTAAGATACTCCTGTGTTTCACTACAGTGTTTCAAGTTTCTCCAGAATTAAGAGGTTTGGTTTTTTTTCATAGTTGAGATGTCTAGTTTACAAATAAGCACAGAATTGCCTCTGATGAGAAGAGACACACAGAATCTATCAGACTCTCAAAATTCTCATCTAGATAAAGGTTAAAGAAACTAGTAGTGAAAACTTGATGCATGTAAGTTATTATTTTTAAAACCTGATCATTTTTAAAAAGTTAATGTATAATGACATGACATCTAAATTCCAATATGAAATAAAGCCACCTGATTCTGTTTCAATGTTAGGCATCCATAGCCTAAAATGTAAACTTTTAAGCTTGAAGTGAAGGATCAAATATAGCCTCTTTAATTATGAACTAAAAAAAATTATCAATGAATTAAGCTAATTTAAAAAAATACCAAATTTTCTGGCATATTTCTTTTGGATCGTATTTTTTAACCATAAGGGGAAAGAGTTTTCTGAAATCCTTAATTGGTCTTCAAATTGCCAGATTGAATTATTTGCCTCCAGAGGATTCCTCTGTTTCCTCAAGCTAAATAAATATTTTCAAGTAGAGTCACAAAAAGTAATCTAAATATAACTTAAATGTTCTCCCTTCACTTCCTTCACTTTCAGTAATTCATTGACGAATAAGGAATGCTCACAGATCTATCCCAATTATCCAATGAGAATTCTCCACCATATTTTATCTATTTCACATAAAAAGAATTACAGACATCAAAGTTCAAAGCAAATTCTATTTCATCAAATTTTCCAGTTAAAGCAAAAGCCTAATGGTTACCCTACTTGATTTTCTGCAGCATCCCACAGTGTTTAGGTAATAGTGTGACAGTTTCTGACAATCTCATTTTGGGTAAGGAGTGTGAATGTGCGTGTCTCCTTGTCTTGTTACATTTCAATTCCGAACACTAGTCTAAAAATACAATAAGGCAATCTTTCTGATGAAGCAAAAAATTATTTGGGAAAAAAACTGTCACTTAAGAAATAATGAATCATGTCTGTCTTACAGGACACATCGTCTAAGATTAGGTCAATGAATTTATGGCACAAATGGCTGTATCATGTGGAACAATAAAATGCAGCACATCATTCATTCTATATCTAACTAATACACTTCTAGTAATTAAAGATTTCATCATAACAGCCTGAGCTGATTACTTAAGATGTGGTAGTTAGGTGAAAATATACACTGTAGATATTTCTCTTTAATAAAAGAACATTTGCATATCCATGAAATACACAGCATGTGTCTCATAAACTATGGTTTTTCTGAACTGTGGTGTTATGGGGTATTCTTCCCATCTTTTTTCCACAGACGGCTTTAATTTTTTTTAAACTTTTTGAGGCATTATTTTTTCCCTCATTATGCCAAGAAGTACCAAAATTCCTTCAGATATTTTAGAAGATAAAGACTAAGAAGTGCAGAGCTCAACTCACTGGGCTCTGGAATGATTTCCCCCTAATTCCACCCGGCTTTGTTTCTGTTGGAATCTGGCCTCTTTGGTTCCACTTCTCTCCCTAACAGGTCCCAGATTGGACGGAGCTGAGGCTGAAGCTGTTTAACGATGGCAATCTGGGGACCAAACAATCAGCTAATGCGAGGCTATTGAGCGAGACAGCTGAAATGCTTCGTATCACAAATACATAATGTATCACCGGGAAGACAAAAAGATCACAAAGGAGATAAACAAATGCGTATTCCATTCAGCCCTATAACAGCAGTCCTCAAAAAGATTAAGTTTACCTTCCTGGGATGTGTCCAATTCTAAACAACAGAATGAACATTTCCTTTAGTCCATTTAGAGTATTTATATTTTGGTGGCTGACTGCCAGGGTAGTACTTATAAGCTCAGTGGCCTGATGGATTCACTCCTTTCCTGTGAAATAAATGTGGCAACCTACACCGCTAAACTGCTCAAAAGACACTGCCTCAGCAGAAATATCACTTGCTCTTGATATAAGAAAACTGAAAGGCAGGACTTCTGGTTCCTATAACTCTTTCCATCTTGTATTTCCCCTGGAAAGAAAGAAAGCTATTCATGTTGGCAACTGAGCCTTTATATAAACGTCCAAAGTCAAAGCCAAAGTATGCCATGAGGTTACCCACATGGGCACGATATATACACTCTGCTGGGCTTAGAAGAAGATTCAGGTGATCAGGGAGGGAGACAGGGTTCCTAATTAACACACATGAATCAGCTGTCAGCTGTGGGAGTGAACTTCATCCTTCAATGGAACCCATCCACCGCTGCCTTCTGAGTGGTAACCTGGCATCAGGCGATATTTCATTAAGAAACTCTTTTGCTGAAATCTTTCTTATCTGGGCAAAGGCATTTGCAGCAATGGAACAGTAAAAAACTATTAGCAATCTCTTGAATGCCATCAACAATCTGAAAAACAAAATCTTCGCATGCTCCTGACTTTTCACGAATACAGCACCCATGTAACAGCTCAGAAGTTGTAGCCCCTTAACCAAAATTGGAGCTTGCCATAAGAGGCTGGTTCTTTAGATCTTGGCCTGTTAAATATGGCATTGATCTTGCGGTCCAGGTCAGCTCAAAAACTCATGAGCTCACCTAAGAGTGAAGCAAAGGAGGCTGGAGAGACATGGACAGGGGTGATCAGTGTTTTGAAGGGTTTGGGTCTGCCTTACCTATAGACAGTCACCTCATAGCATGAATTGAGGGCCTCAGACTGATCCCACCTGAACACTTGCTTCCAGCTCGACCCTGCAGTCCCATGGCCCCAGCATCAACTGTTCCTTTGGGTTTAGACGCTGCCTCCATCAGGGTCCTAATTCGGTGCACTTGGGCACCAAAGGATGCTATAGAAATCACATCTGATTCGGAATCAGAAGATGTGGGTGTGAGTCAGGGCTCCATCATTCTCTCTTATGAAAATCTCAGCTTCAGTTTCTTCCTCTGTGAAAGGGAGCTAATATAGTAGTAGCAAGCAACACTGGTGTGCTGGGCCTAACAGTAACCTTGTTGCATAGAGAAGTTTTTCAGTTCCTAGCCTGCCTCCCTCGTGGTTGCTGATATCCCAGGAACATTCCATAGGTTTAAGTTCAGTTTAACTTAATAGGAGGGTGTTTTTCTGGCAGTGTGAGGAGGAAAAGGGAGGTTTTCATCTAGGCTTTCCTAGGAGTCTGCGTGTCTTTGAGACATGGACAAACACATGCTGAACCTCACAGACTCCAGCCCCCATCCTGCACC